CCTGTACTTTCTACTTCTTACATGTTGAACCCAAATACCTGTACTTTCTACTTCTTACATGTTGAACCCAAATACCTGTACTTTCTACTTCTTACATGTTGAACACTAATACCTGTACTTTCTACTTCTTACATGTTGAACTCAAATACCTGTACTTTCTACTTCTCTCATTTTCCAAACAGGCTGGTTCCTTTAGTCTGAATGTGTGTTTGGTGGCGTGATCATTATTATTTAGAGTCATTGCGTGCCTATTGATTTGAACACGATCCGTGTATCCATCATTTCCTGGTCTTCTCTAAAGAAGAGGGACCAATGAAAACGTTGTCATGCTGCCGTTGGTCACCATGGAAACATTCATTAGCTAACAATGACATTATTGTTCTATTAATATAAAGGGAGGTCAGGTACTCTTTAAAACAGCTGCTAGTTATGGGTACTTTTTACTGAAGTACATTTCAAAGCCTCTTTACTTTGACTTGAGTAAAGAAGTTTAGTCAGTACTTCTACTTTCACCAGAGTATTTTTAAACACGAGTATCTGTACTTCTACTTGAGTAAAGAATGTGTTGCCATCTCTGCAGGTGTGTTTCAGAAATGCTCATGTTGTGGTAATACCAGTGGTGGAAGAAGTATTCAGATGCTTTACTTGGGTAACACTGCATTTCACATTTATTTCTTTTCTGACTAAAGTCCACGAGTTCATATTACATAATTTCTCTTTTAAATGTACTGGAGTAGACGTATAAAGTAGCATAAAAGGAAAAAACTCAAGGAAAGTACCTCACAATTGTACTTAAGTAGAGTACTTGAGTAAATGTACTGAGTTACTTCCCACCTCTGGGTTATATTGATAACTTTTCTCCGACCTTTAGGTGTCCCGGAGTAATTCCCACAGAGCGAGTAAGGTGTTGTTCATCGGAGGACTGAAGATGCTTCTCTCCACCGGCAGTTCGATCTGGAACCACCGACAGATCGTCCTCTGGGACCCCGTGAGACTCAAACACACACTTTAGCTTCTAATTCAATGCTTCATTAGTTAAAGGTCTCCTATTGTACTATTTCTAGACGTATATTATAGCTCAAATGCTTTCTCTCGCGGGTTTACCACAAGGTGAGTACCTTTTCTCCTGCTTCTTTACTCTCCAGTACTACAGGTTAGCTCTGATATATAGCGATGCTAATGTAAACAAAGACCATATTACTTCCAGAACACGTCAGGCATTGTTTCTGATACAGCAACGTTTCTGATAGGCTCGTGGGTGTAAAGCCCGCCCACATTTCAGATATTACGTCATATCGGACACACATCTGGGTCAGCTCCATTGTACCCCCGTTTTTAGAGATGTGGGTACGGAGGAAAAGAGAGAGAGTTTTGTTTTCTGACACTTTGTGAGTCTCCTGACACACCGGGAAGACATGTGGATAAAATACATCAAAAAGTTTATTTTGTTTGATAGGAGACCTTTGAATTAAGGTTTATTTGTTTCTAGGACGACTTATCTGAGCCGCTGTACGAAGAAGTTCTGGACGGATCTGCAGGAGTCCTCTTCCCGTTCTACGATCCAGACACACACATGCTCTACCTGGCTGGAAAGGTCTTACAAAACACACAGATTACCCAGAACTCCTTGCATATTGATGGTGTTCCAGTCTGGTTGTTAGGAAATTGAACCTAAAGTGAATTGAAATACCTTTATTCAGGGTGACGGGAACATCCGGTACTACGAGCTGAGCACGGAGAAACCTTACATCAGCTTCCTGACAGAGTACCGGTCTCTGCTGCCACAGAAAGGACTCGGTGAGGTCAACAAACCCATTAAAAAGTGTTTTGTTGCTTTTGAACATATATTTGCAGCCTAAAACTTAAACCATACCCTACCAACGTTAGCGCCCAATCGTACATGATATTTTGTAAAAACATACTCTTATTTTGTAAAAACACTCTCCACCATGTCTTAGCTAGCTTCACAACTTTACTTTTGGCCAAACTTATTTGAGGAAAAGACCAATATAGTTAGCTTTACAAGATATATTTTGTCAAAACACGACATTAGCTAGCTGTAGAATATAATATAAGACACACATTTTGGGCAGTCCAACTTAGTTATCAATACCAATACTGAATGTTATCAAGATCACCATGTTCTACTTGTATACAATAAATACCTTTGGCTAGCTTTCGTATGCTAGCTGTTTCCCGATGTTTAACGATCAACTGTCACTATAGGCGTGATGCCAAAGCGCGGACTGGACGTTAGCGCCTGCGAAGTTTTCAGATTTTACCGTCTGATCTCCATCAAAGACTTGGTGGAGCCACTTTCCATGATCGTACCGCGGAAAGAGGTTAGCATCACACGTTAACTAGGTATTTACTGACCATTTAGACACAAAAGCTGCATGTTTTTTTATTTTATTATTTGTGTTTAACATGTAAGAAGTAGAAAGTACAGGTATTTGTGTTCAACATGTAAGAAGTAGAAAGTACAGGTATTTGTGTTCAACATGTAAGAAGTAGAAAGTACAGGTATTTGTGTTCAACATGTAAGAAGTAGAAAGTACAGGTATTTAAGTACAGGTATTTGTGTTCAACATGTGAGAAGTAGAAAGTACAGGTATTTGTGTTCAACATGTAAGAAGTAGAAAGTACAGGTATTTGGGTTCAACATGTAAGAAGTAGAAAGTACAGGTATTTGAGTTCAACATGTAAGAAGTAGAAAGTACAGGTATTTGTGTTCAACATGTAAGAAGTAGAAAGTACAGGTATTTGGGTTCAACATGTAAGAAGTAGAAAGTACAGGTATTTGTGTTCAACATGTAAGAAGTAGAAAGTACAGGTATTTGGGTTCAACATGTAAGAAGTAGAAAGTACAGGTATTTGAGTTCAACATGTAAGAAGTAGAAAGTACAGGTATTTGTGTTCAACATGTAAGTAAAAGTAAAAAGTCCTCAGAAAAATAAGTAGTGGAGTAAAGTACTGATACCAGAAAAATGTACTTAAGTACAGTAACGAAGTATTTGTACTCCACTACTTCCCACCTCTGTTCCAGTCTGGTATTTTCCAAGCGGATCTGTACCCGATGACGGCAGGAAACCAGGCGGCCATGACGGCTCAGGAGTGGCTGTCGGGGATCAACAGAAGTCAGTAACTCATCCCTTTGGAGCCAAAATGGCCGACATACATGATCCATCACCTCTTGTGTCTCTCTCTTTAGGTCCAGTGCTGATGTCCCTGAAACCTGGGATAGGAGTTTCCAACCCTTACCCAGAAACCCCTGCAGAGAAGATGGATCCACAGAGACCTGAGAATAATGACTTTATGGAAGAGGTAGTCAAAATCAATCATGAAACAGTAGTTTAAAGAAGGGTTAGGGTAGTTGAAGTAGCTCAAAATAAGTGTTTTTCGGGCAGAATGGCATCACTTGACTGGCATGGGAGTTGTAATTCCACCTGGCGCACGTTGGGCCTTCAAATGCAACTAATGAGAAGCTTTAAAAATGTACAGCATTGTCCAAAAATCGCAGAAACAGCAAGTAGACAAAACCCCAGAAGTGGGATAAGTACTCGGATCTTGAGTAAAAGTAGAAGTACTCAGATGTTGTACTTGAGTAAAAGTAGAAGTACCAGAGTGTAGGAATACTCTGTTACAGTAAAAGTCCTGCATTCAAAATGTTCCTCAAGTAAAAGTAAAAAAGTATAATCATCGACCCTAACCTAAAAGTAGTGATTGTGCAGATTGGTCCATTTCAGAATAATATATGATGTGTTTTATAATGATTGATCATGCTGCACAGGTGGTTCACTTTTAGCATTATTGGGCATGAAGGAAAACCGTCCGTTATTCTGTCACCTAGTTTGCATTTTTCCTGAATCTCTTCTTTGAGGCCTTCCTGGAGGAGCAGCTCTCATATCAGGACGCCAAATATCCCCGAAAAGCGAGCGATCTGTCGGGTTGGCAGCCGGACGAGACGCTGTTGACGAACTTCTTCACGCCGCACTGCTGCGAGCCTGCAGAGAAACCGCCGCCAAACACCGAGAACGAGGTGGGAATACATCAGAAAACAGGAGAATATCCGGCGTGCAAAACGTTTCATCTTCCTGCTAAGAAAAGGTGTTTTTATTTATTTCAGCTCCTGCAAGCTTTCTACAGACAGCAGGACGAGATCAGAGGCCTGAAGGACAAACTGAACGAGAAAGATGTGAGTGTTACACAGGAGGCTAAAATATGTTATTCTCTAAAATAATAAAAAATGTTGTCTTACTGAAGTGTTTGGAGCCTTGGGGACAAAATAGGATATTTTCAGTCAAATTATTGGCATCTAAAAGGCCCAAAAATGTATCGTAAAGAAACTTACGGTTGGTTTTTGAGTCTCATTCATCTTCAAATCATCATAAGTTCTTCATTTCACATATATGTTTTAGTATCTAATATTGTCTGTTTGTTTACCCTTCTTTAAATCACATCTCAGAGAGTTGATTTTTATTGTTGTTTTCTTTGTTCCTCTACAGGTGAGGATCTCTCAGCTGGAGCTGGACATCAGAAACACCAGAAACAACCTGAGGGCAACTTTCTGAACCAACAAACAAACAAATCAACATTTACAACAAATAAACTGAAACAGACATTTTAACCTGGTTATTATTTTCCAGCCCTTCTAAGATAATATATTCTGGCAGTAGCAGTTAAAACAAAGTATTTCACATAATTAGAAATAAAAAGAAAATAGAAAATAAACAATTATACAATCTAAAAATATAAGATACAATCAAACTAAAGAGTGAAAATATAAAAGTTGACAGTGAGTAAAAATATGTAGATTATCTGACTAATAAAACTCTATTTAGCATCTTTTAACATAAATACCATAATAATGAATAATCCTTAACTTTAAAAATACAAATGTTTAATGTATGCACAATAACCCTGGATTAGAATACAATATTAAAACATTTTATTTTAAATGATATCGCCCTCTGGTGGAGGATATTGTACTCTGATGTATTTAAGAATTATCATTTTAAGCATAGGTAGAAAGATACTGAGAATTAAGAACTTTGCTCAGACTAACAATCGCAATGTCAACGTACGTGAAACATTTCTACAAAGTATAATTTTTTACAAAAAGTATTTATACCAGTTTCTGAAAGAAAAGAGGAATCGCCATCTGGTGGACAAACTATGTAACTGCAACTCGTTTTAATTACTATATATTTATATTTTCCCCTAATTTATGTCTCAGAGGATCTTGCAAGCAGATGTATTTTAGAAATAACCATTCATTTAACATATCGCAATGTTAACAACGTGAAGATGTCTACAAAATATTGTTATAATCCTAATATCTGAAAGAAATGTATATTGTCGCCCTCTGGTGGACAAACTATAAGGACACGGATTTTCCAAATATTTTTTTAATATCTATACTGCAGACCTTCTTACAAAATGTCTAAAAGCAAACATTTTGAAGGAGAAACCTGTGAAATAAAATGGCGTTAGAGACAAAACGCACGAGAGGAGACGCCAGGAGCAAAATGTTAAGATTTTATTTACAAAGTCCTTTTTGTGTGTTTTTTTTTTGTTTGTTTTTCCTTTAACTTACAGAAAGTAAAAAAAAAAAAGAAAACACGTCAACTAGTCAGTGTAAGTGTCAAGGATCTCTCGACGGAGGAAGAGGAGGCATACATTGGGGAGAGATGAAGAAGAGGAAGATGGGGGGGAGGGACAAAGAGAGAGTGTCCCCAGACAACCATACGAAAAATTAAACAAAAAAACAATTTCTCTGAAAAAATATTTCTTTTAAAAAGCTCTGTTGGCAAAAAAGAGAGAACACAGTTTGCCCTGAGCGACTCGGCCTCGGGGGAGGAAGAGGAAAAGGAGGAAGGGTTTTTTAGGAAGGGGGAGAAAATACGGAGGAAAGAGGGATTTGGCTTCTGCGTCCCACGAGCCCTCGTTTCCGTCCACACAGAATTAAAGCTTTTTTTTGCACGAAATTATTGATTTTGACAAGAAAAAAATACACAAATAAAAAAGGAGATTTTTACAACTTTTGTGACACGATAGATATTTATGATCTAGGAAATAAGAAGGGAACTGAAGCTCACGTTTAGATCACAGAAAAAACTCAAGAAAAAATGTGTTTCTATTGTGTTTTTCTAATGTTTTCCCTAAAAAAGGACGACGCTTTCGCTCGTAAACGCAGCAGGACTTTACCGTTTTAAATGTCCACATGATTTGCCCTCACTGTTTTCAGGAACAACAACACCTGGTCTTCTATGTCCTGAAGCGCAAAAATAAATGTGGTTTTGTGTAATAAATGCCCCAAATCAGCCCTTATTGATGCAGAAAAATGGCACGTTTTGAGTTAAAAATTTGAGGGAAATTCACAAAAAGCCACATTTTAACACAAATGAACAACTTAGTTGAATTGGCTTTGTGAAAGGAACTCTTCATGTAAAAATAATCGTTGTTGTTGTTGCTTAATTAACTCTTTACGTCGCTGGAGTATTTAAGGGCAATTAGTGCCAGATTATTTTTAGTCATTTTCCAAACAGAAATGCCCAAATCCTCAGTTTCTAGCGTCATAAATGTGAGAATTTCTGCTTTTTTGTCTCCTAAATGATAATATCATGATTTGGTTTATAAAATATAACGTTTAAGTTTTTCCCTGAGGGCGAATAACATGCATTTCTAATATGTTAGAAAACACTGAAACGAGATAGAAATCGGATATCAGCTCGATGAAAACCATGATCTTCAGTAAGCTTTTTGGTTTGTGAATCTGAAACTCAGAAATGTGCATAAAAATACATTTGTTTGAGCTGGAAAGGAATATTTAGAGATTTGATGATAGCAGGAATTTAAAAAGCCTGAAGTTTGTGAATCCTGACAAACTTTTTTTGCAAAATCCAAAAAAAAGGAGAACGAGGTCGTTTTGATGAATTAACGGAGTTTCGGTCTGCAGGATAACGAGGGCGTGGGAAATGGGACACACCCCGGGGGGGGAGGGGGAGGTCATGGAAGGGGGAAGGGTCACCGGGCCAGAGGTCAGAGGTTTTTTTGGGGTGTTTTCAGGGTCCTTAATCATCATCTTCCTCCTCTTCCTCCTCCTCGGCTTCAGGGTCCCTCTTCCTCTTCTCTCCTTTAGCCGGAGACGAGTCTTCGTCTGCAGAAAAGATTCAAACACAGAACATGCTTTATTATTTACCCCCTTCATTTTGTCCCTCTCTTTGTGCCGTCTCATTTTGGGGGTTTCATTTACTTTTTACCCTTCATTTTAATTGTTTATTTATTTATTTTCCTTGTTCTTTCCCTTTTTCTAGCTTTTATTCTTTATCTTTTTGTTTTCATTAAATTTACCCCTAATTTTATTTGTTTTTAAAAACATTTCCCCTGATTTTTGTTTATATTTTTCCTTGATTATTTTTGTTTGTTAATTAATTTTCCTATTGTTTTTCGTTTACCTGTATTCAAATTATTTCCTTATTTTTTGCAAGTAATTTTTTTTAAAATAGTTTTTATTTCCATTTTGTTTTCTTAATTAAATATATATACATTTTTCCTAAATGTTGTATATATATTTATTTATTTCCTTTTTGTTCTCCCTTAATCTAAAATATATATATTTCCTTATTACTTTTTTCCGGTTGTCTTTCCCATATTTTTTGGAATTTTTTAATTTTATTTCTTACATTTTCAACTTCATTTTGTTTTTCCATTTGCTCCCCCCTCATTCATTAAAAGTGCTTTATTCCTCTTTACTAACCAGAGGAGAAGCTATCGTAATCAAGGGCTGCGGTCGGATAATCCAAAAATCAGCTCCTAACGTCTATCCCTATCGTCTATTCCTTGACCTCTGAGTGAAAGGTCACGGGGTTAAGGGATAGTGGATAGGAGAATTCAAAAGGACTTAGGAGAAGAGACTGCGGTACTTTAGAGAATCCGAATGCACTTTCACTATCCGACGTGTTTATGATGCGCCAGCGGACGTCATTGTGTGCGTCTGCTGCTGTGGGGAAACTATGGAAACTACAGTTTTCTATACAGAGGACTACAACATGGATGTTTAATAAGAACGAGGGACTCATCTAGAGACTCTGCACCGTGCTCTGATGCTGTTGCTTTATGAAAGAACAACAGAGAAATATATTCTTCATGACCGAAGTTAGAATTGAAATAAAAAAGGAAAGTGAAACTTCTGCTCGTCCTCTCCCTCCGGTCCACATTAATACAAATGATCCCAATACGTATGATTGTATGAACTATGAAAAGATCTTAAAATAAATATGACTGTTGAGTGACGGCAAATGCTGTGGCTGCAATGCATTGTGGGGCAGCATTTTCTCCTCTCCTTTCGGTTAGGGAGGTCCAGTGGTTCCTAAGCTAAAGGAGGTTATAAAGGAAGTTTGAAACCTCCTTTCCTATCATTCTATCTAGAGAATTGGAACGGCACTTATCATGGCTGCCACTGAGGGACTTCCGGGTCATTTCACTACGTTAGGAAGGTTCCTAAGCTAAATGGACTATTCGACTGCAGCCCTACATAATAAATAATGCACTGTTAAAAGCCCCCCCCTCATTTAAAGTTTCTTAAAGCGTTTTTAAAGCCCCCTCAGTTACTCACCACCACTATCGTCATCATCTTCATCGTCGTCGTCGTCCTCGCTGTCAACGTCTCCGTTCAACCTCTCCGTCCTGCAGAGAGTTTGGTGTTAAAGACTTCATATCCCAGAATGCCACGGGGTAAATCCCCACATTCAGATTCAACCCCTCAAACTCTCAGATGAACTGTGTTTTATGTATTTAATGCAAGCTACATTTAATATCTGTTTAAAAATAAATATTAAACAGATGTTTGCTAACATGCTTTTGTTTTCTCTGAACCTATTTAGCGATAAAAGCTGATTTATAGCGTTTTTTATTATTATTATTTTAGGAATATCGTCATAGAACAAAGACCACATCTCTATATGTAGTAAAGTAAGTATTAAGTCAGAGTAAAAAGATTTAAAATAACTATAAAGAATACTCCAGGCTAGGGATGCAGTGGCTACGGTATACCGTACCGAAATTAGATCCGGTTTCGATACTTTCAAAGATTTTTTTTTTTTTCAGAAAAAAAAATATATATTTTGGCGGGTGTTATAAATTAGATTGCATAATCGTTTTTC